TGTGTGTGTGTGTCTGTGTGTGTGTGTCTGTGTGTCTGTGCGTGTGTGTCTGTGTGTGTGTTTTGGTCTCACCCCAGCAGAATTTGCTCATGGGGTGTCCAGGTTTAGCGAGGCTCCCAAACAGCATCTCCTTACGATGGGAGTCTGACGGCCTCGCCAGCTGGAACTCTGATGACGGAGGTCAATGAAAAGAGAGAAAACAGCTTGAATGAATTTGAAGATGACGATGCCTTCGATTTTAATAGAATTATTTATTTATTGATATAAAGAATTCATTTTTTTCTATTACTTGATTTTTTTTGGGTGGTTATGTTCTGGCCCCTCCCATTTGTTTGTTTATTTGTTTGTCAGGATTAAACAAAAACTGAACAAGACTGAAGAAGAAAATGTTGCTGCTGCGTCTTCATATGTAAAAGAAAAAGTCCAGAAAGTGTCCGGACTGAAGAGTTCATGTCTGAAAACAGTTAGTGACTCACCACTGTCCACAGCCTCCACCTCTCGGTCGATGGCGTCCTCAATCATCAGAGGACAGATGAAGAACTGAGCCCACCTGGAACAGACAATCAACTCATAATTAATCTATTAAACATTTCTGTTCATGTTCCTGAACCTCATCAGAGTAAACCGATGATCTTCAAACCGTCACACCGTCATTTCATAAACGGATCAACTCACTGATTAACTCAGAACATAATCAACAGTGAAAATCATTCGTTCTTCATATAACAGATGATAAAAACTCTCATATCACCATTTTGCACAAAGTGAAGTTAAGATTGATTGAAGTTGTTCAAGACTTTGAACAACATAAAGGTTCAAATAACTGAAAACCTTAAAACTGGGAATCAAAGTGAACCAAGGTAACAGAGGAGATGACAGAAGTTTCTGCCTCACCTGTCCAGCGCCTCTCTGAAATATTTCCTCTGCACATCGAACTGAAAGATGGTTCTCTCACAGTCGGTGGAGGCATTGTCACTTCCGCCGTGCTTCTTCAAGAAGGCGTCAAAGCCGTTCTCTGCTGGATATTTCTCACTGCCCATGAACACCACTGAACATCAGGCAGAAAGAAACAATCATAAGAAGAAGAACTGAGTAAAGGACACAGGACAAGATGTTCTCAGGAAACCTCAAATAACATTTCAACCATCAAGACTTTAAATTGTGTCAGGATCAAGAGATTCTCTGCTTTTCGAGGAAACTTGACATCCAGTCACAGAAGTTTACTGGGTCACTGGAGAGGAGAAGTTTCTGGACTCCAGTGTTGGTCAGAGCTTGTGGGTGTATCACTGGGCCTTTAGCGGTGGTACTGCGCCTCCTAGTGTTCTAATATGGAACTTTCTGTGCTGTAACTCAATGAGGAAAAGGATCTGGACTAAACTTCAGAGGTCACCATCATGGAGGTTCTGCTGCACATGATGAATGAAATCTAATACTGACTTCAAGAATAAGAGACAAAATTAGATTAAAAAATATATTTTTCAGGCATTTCTAAGTTTTTGAAAGTGTGTGGGTTGTTTTTCTTTGCAGCATTTATTTCGCTGAACTCACACGTGTGTGTAACGGTTAACTCTTCATTCCCTGACTGACCCACAGTCTCTTTTCTACCTAAACTCACTGTGTTCCAAGAAGTGGGCAAGGCCGGGCAGGTCGTCCGGGTCACTGAAGCTTCCCACACTGATGCACAGAGCGGCTGCAGCCTGGAGGCACACACAATAAAACAATATGCACTCAAAGGCACTTATGTAGCATCCACAAGACCACTGAGGGTTATTAACCACAACTCTGCGAAGGAGATGATGGAAATTAAGTCCATTAAATACTTGTGTTTGCCACTGACAGGTGACAACATCATGAAGACAGAGACTCCAACAGAGACAAAGCTTTGTTCACGAGGAAGATTCTTTTTGGTTCAAAGCCACCAGACTCCATTGACAAAAACAGTAATTCTATCTCACAGCAGACAGAGCTGAAGGTCCACCTCTGCCTTGATTGGTTTCCAGGATCTGCATCAGGGATTCGCATCACCTACCTGTTTCTCAGAGCTCCCACTATTCTTTTCTGCGTTTTCCTCGTCCAGCTCCTCAAAGTCGCTGTCCTGCTCCGCCTCTTTGTCGTCCTCCTCGTCCTCCTCTGACCCCTCTCCAGAATCCCCTTCATCTTCCTCTTCGCCCTCGTCCTCAGGTTCACCCTTGTCCTCTCCGTTTTCACTGCCCCCCTTCACGTCGGCCCCACTGAAATCGGAGATGAGGAGAGCTCGGAGGCCGTTATTCAGCTCGATGTACCTGCAGAGAGGAGAGGGCGATATTATCTCCTTGTCTCTAAGATCAACAAGCACTGATCAGTGGAGGTAAAACAATCAGTCCATTAATCGATTAGTTCCCCTCACAAATGATATTCAGCTTTTATTCATTAAAGACACCAACTAATCTCTGGATTCTCACATGTCAAATGTTATGAGATACTAAAGTGACTTATCTGAAGACATGAATGAATGAATGAACTTAATCACAGTTTCCAGTGATTGGCTGACAGGTGACATGTCTGTGAACTAGTTTGATCAGCACCCCTTTCCTTTAAGATTTTTGAAATCATCCTAATGTCCAATGTCTGCTGACATTCAAACGAGACACCTCCTTCTCCCACCTGTATTTCTTTGGATCACTGGGTGATTTGATGATCTCTGCGTCCCCCTTGTCTTCCAGACCCACTCCTCCGCCTCCATCGCCAGCAGCCCCCTTAACGTCTGCTGATGCCGGTGGCGGCTCGCCCTGGTCCGGGGCAGAGGCCTGTCCTGGCACACTGCCACCGCTCTGCGACTTGTTGGTCTGAGGCATTTTCTCAAAGTCGTCTGGAGTGACGTGAAGAAAACATGTTCATGAGCATAGATATTGAAAATCATGCAGCCACAACATTGTTAGGCAGAAAATGTGTCTGTGTACATTACTGGAACTCTATATGGACAGAAGTATGTGGACACTGACAGCAGTGTGCTTCAACATTGTGTCGGACTCGGAAGTGAAACAAATCTCTAACAAATCACAAGATTAGTCGATAACCTGATAATCAATCAGCTGATTGACAGAAAATCACTGAAACAATTAATCAATTTTCAAAGTTACTGTCATCAGGTTGTTGACTTATTTACTTCAAGATAAGATCAGATAAGATAAGTTAAGATAATCCTTTATTCGTACCACAAAAAAAAATAGTATCACAGCAGCAAGAGTCCAAAAGACATCAGTAAGTAATAACACTGAGGAAATCTAACTTGATTTAAACTAGTGTACAGTGTAAAACAGGAAACATGTGCTGCACATGAAGAACATTCTGAACTGTATCATTCAGGACAAATGAATGAATGAAGCCAGCAGAGCTTTAGCCTGAAACTAGGGTTCAAGGGTCAAATCACCTTGAACCTTCTCTGAATCGAATGCAAACCGAATTCAAGGCTGTCATTTGAAAACGATCTGGACTCACGTGTGTTGTGTTCATCAGAGAATGAAAACAGATCTGGATTTTAAATCCAGTGTGGAGGCTCAGTCTGAACCGTTGGTCTGGATGTGAACACACGTGTTACCGTCAAATATTCAGAAGTAACGTCAGTCACTGAGTTAGACCGTTAACCGTTAGTTAACCGATAGTTAACCGTCAGTTAGCGGTAGTTAACCGATAGTTAACCGGTAGTTAACCGGTAGTTAGCCGGTAGTTAGCCGGTAGTTAACCGGTAGTTAGCCGGTAGTTAACCGGTAGTTAACCCGGTTAGCCGGACATTAGCTGTTGCTAATCCCGTTGTTCAGAGCCGCATCACTGCTGGTTGAATTAATCTGTAGCTTCTGAGAAACACGCAGAGGGTGTGTGTGTGTGTGTGTGTGTGTGTGTGTGTTTCAGGATGTGGAGCCGCTCACCTCTGACTGGATCTCTCACCGAACCTCTGACTGGATCTCTC